GCCCGGGGATCTCCCGGAGCGGGGCGGCCCCGCAGCCCTTTAGGATTGAGAGGGGCCACGGAGACTCTCGAAGGTCGTGCGGGGCAGCGGTGCGCTCTGGGGCATCCTCCCCCTCTGCCCCCCGAGGGTAGCAGCTGCCCGGTGCCCGTAGCTCGGTGCCCGCCTCGCCCCGCCGGGGCAGCGCTGCAGCCCAAAGCTTCGCTCAGCAGCGGGCACAGCCCGAGGGGACGCGGCCCGCGGAGCGCCGGTCCCGCTGCGCGTTGGCATCTGCCGCTCCGAATCCCTTCAGGGCAGAGCGCCTTGGAGAGCGAGCCTTGACCAGGAAAGAGTTAAGCTTTATATTATTCAGCTGAGGTCTTGTTAGGATGTAATCTGCATTTTCTAACTACTGCGTAATAAAAAGTGAGAAGTTTTGAGACACCTTTCTTGATTATACCTTTGGCGATACTTTAGGTTTTACATTTAATTTGCATTTTGTTCTTAGTGAATATTGAAGTCTTGAGTGGAGGATTGAATTTTATTAGGACATCTGGACTGACAATATCAAATCAGACACCAACGTCCCAAAGCATGCTAAAATTTCAGAGTTAATTAGAACGAAGTGTGTTTAATTAAAGCCAATTATAATATCTGAAATTATCTGATCGATCCTTGTTTGTTCAGTCGTACTCCCCTCATATTGTTCTCGCGGCGCGGGAGGAGCCGTCCGGCCGCAGCCCCCCGCGCTCCGCACCGCACCGCACCGCACCGCGGGGGCGGCCCCGGCGGAGCAGCGTTGGGAGCGGGCCGCAGCCGGGCGGTGCCCGCAGAGGAGCAGCTCCGTGAGGCGCCCGCAGTGCGGATACGGGGCAACTTTCAGCCTCGTTCTGTCGGGAACTAATTCTTCCTTTAACAATATCGGGGGCGCGGGGGGTGAAAGCGCTCCTGGAACAGCGCAGTGCCGAGCGGTACCTTCAGCAGAACGGCTCCGCACCGCCGAGCGAGCTCCGTGCCTCTCCCCCCGCCGCGCAGCCCGGCCAAGGGGCGCGCAAAGAGAGCGCAAGGCCGCGAGAAGGGAGAGGGGTAGGCGTAGAGTGACTCGGGCAGAGCTGCCCGAAAGGACCCGGGAGGGACAGAGGTAGCGTCCCCCGCGAGTCCTGCGCCGCGCCCGCGCAGCCCGAGGCCTGGGCCGAGCCCAGGAGCTTCGCAGTGCCCGGCTTCTGCCCCGCGGGGCGCGCAGCGGGACAGCGGGCTGCCCGCAGCCGTCGGATGGCCCCGCTCGGGGCGCGGATGTGTGCGCCCACGCCGGGAGCTCGGCTCCCCCTCGGCCTTTCTCCGGGCGCGGGGTGATCGGGAACTGGAATTTCAGCCAAGTTCCGAAGTTGGCCCGAGTCGGGAGACGGAGACGTAGAAGCGGGCGGAGGGGAGGCCAAACGGAGGTGCGATCCCCCGCCCTGCGCGCTCTCTGCGCGGCTCCGGGCGCCGGCTGCAGGTTGCGCGGGGCCGCGCGGAGCGGCCGCCGGGGACTCCGCCGTCGTTGCCTCCTCCGCAACGCGTTCCCCTTCGCATGTATATCGGGAGGTGCCCGTCAGCGGCCAGCCCCCGCCCCCCGAAAGTGGAGCGGCCGTACCTGGGCATCTCCGCTCTTACTTAAAATACCCGAAAATACCCATTTATCACTGCTCCGGGACACAGGAAACGAGAGTTAGCTGAGATTTGTTTCGGTTCAATCGGGCATCAGTTACACCTATGTAACCCAGCGCGTTGATAGCAGCGGCGCCTTCGAACAATAAAAGTCTGAGAGTTGCGCGGGCACTGCGCGGGCCCCGCCGTACCCCCCCCAGGAGCGCCGCGCAGCGCAGTGCTGGTCGGTGCTCCCCCCGTGGGACCGGGGGTGCGGGGCCGGGCCGGGCGGGGGGGAGAGGAGCGGGGACAGCCCCCGAGAATCCGCGTGGCCAAATCCACGCGGGGCTCCGCGTTGTGTGATGGA